TTTCGTTGACATGTTTGTCCTCAGAACAATGGTACAAGTATTGGCATAGCTAAGGTTAAAATGACGGTTCTAGCAGAGCTCCATAGACGATAGGTAATAGCAACTTAATAAAGGATGGAGCATCAACACCCAAGGATTCCATGATCGGTAGTCCCAATGACGGCTTGCCTAGCGGGTCTCAATACATCGATGATACCTTCAAAAAATTTACAACTAACATATGAACATTGTAACTGAACACTTCAATTTATAAACAGCATCGCTGTACAATTTTTGTATGTATATAATCTATAGTTATCTTTGTTCCTTTTACTTTGTATAGCGTAACAATCTGTATTGTTATCATCACGTGATCAAGACAATGCGTTATTACGTCACGACTGAACCGTCATTTTAACCTTAGCTATGCCAATACTTGTACCATTGTTCTGATTACGGCTAGCCTAGCTAATCGAAACATGTCAACCAAATAAAACTACCGATCACGGAATCCTTGGTGTTGATGCTCCATCCTTTATTTAGTGGTTAGTACCTATTGTCTATGGAGCTCTGCTAGAATCCTCCGAATCCGTCTAGGATTCCTCTACCGTTACATCTACCAACTAGTACCACTCACAGGACATTGGTTCTACCGATACATCTACCAACTAGTACCACTCATAGGACGTTGGTTCTACCGATACATCTACCAACTAGTACCACTCACAGGACGTTGGTTCTACCGATACATCTACCAACTAGCACCATTCACAGGACGTTGGTTCTACTAATACATCTACCAACTAGTACCACTCACAGGACGTTGGTTCTACCGATACATCTACCAACTAGTACCACTCACAGGAACATTGGTTCTACCGATACATCTACCAACTAGTACCACTCACAGGACGTTGGTTCTACTGTTACATCTACCAACTAGTACCACTCACAGGACGTTGGTTCTGTCGATACATCTACTAACTAGTACCACTCACAGGACGTTGGTTCTTTCGATACATCTACCAACTAGTACCACTCACAGGACGTTGGTTCTACCGTTACATCTACCAACTAGTACCACTCACAGGACGTTGGTTCTACCGATACATCTACCAACTAGCACCATTCACAGGACGTTGGTTCTACTAATACATCTACCAACTAGTACCACTCACAGGACGTTGGTTCTACCGATACATCTACCAACTAGTACCACTCACAGGAACATTGGTTCTACCGATACATCTACCAACTAGTACCACTCACAGGACGTTGGTTCTACTGTTACATCTACCAACTAGTACCACTCACAGGACGTTGGTTCTGTCAATACATCTACTAACTAGTACCACTCACAGGACGTTGGTTCTTTCGATACATCTACCAACTAGTACCACTCATAGGACGTTGGTTCTACCGTTACATCTACCAACTAGTACCCCTCACAGGACGTTGATCCTACCGATACATCTACCAACTAGTGCCACTCACAGGACATTGGACTCCTCCACCTCTTTTTATTTTTCCCATGTGTGTTTAGATGTACATGCAAGGTTGGGGTATATGTGGTGGGATACAAGTGCAGTAGGGGTACACATGTGGTAGGTGTAGATATGTGATTGGGGTACATGTGTGGTAAGGGGTACATGTGTGGTAGGGGTATATCATTAGAGTTGTGTTTAAAAATACCTCTACGTGCATTGAAACTAATACAAGAATCTTTTAAACAGATATCATATATTTAACTCACATCTGAATGTACATATATATAATTGTATATGATTACAGTAAAATTCGCTGGTATCATCAACTTGAGTTAATATATATTCCGCAAACCATGCTCCCTTCCCAAGTGACAAAATATTGACCATAAGTGGGCGGATTGATTGCAAGTATTTCCATTTACCTTAGTGTCCACCATATTGATGATTGTTATACTTAACTTTAACCATAGATTCCCAGTATTACTGATGATTTTAAAATGTATATTATCCCTATTTCAATAATATTGATGATGTTACGAAACAAAAACCTGAAACTAAAAATTATGGTCAAGTCCTTTAACCATTTGACTGCTATTCATGAAAAATTATGACAAGATAATGTTGGTCCCAACCTGCCAAAAGTGAAATCTTCTTCCTGCACTTGCATAACTTGATCAGTTGCCAACAAGTGAAAAATCTTCATAATAATGGCAGCATGCTTGTTCAGTGTCATCAGTGATTCTGACAGTAAGAAAGAATTGGAATTGTTCTGGATGAAGTACTTACGTTCAATGTAATAAACAATGGCTATTGAGAGCAGACTAGAATTGTCAGGCAAGACTTTGGGCATGTAACATGATTAAATTAGCTTTCACAAGTAGGTCAAAACCTGGATCATTTGACGAATTTTTGAGAAGATATTTCTTCAAACTGATATGGATAATTGATCATAGTCTGATCATGACCAAGAAATATCATTATTTTCCATAATTGCAGTAAATGATGATTTTTTATTCAATAAATGACTGAAGAAACAGCAGCTCGAAATGATGATTTCATCGACACATTAGGTAAGATGATAATGATCTCTTTCAAGAATTATTATTTGCAGTATTGTTTTACTCAAATAATGTTTAAAACATGTCACAAATACAATTTTTGCTTTGTGATTTTCTTTCTCTAGTGTCTCTTAATCAGGAAGAACTAGCTTTAATTTGACCTAGTTTCTTCTGTTCCTGGAATATATCCAAAAGCAGTAAAGGGGCTTATTTGTTGGAAAGGGCTCTTTTACAGTATAATACAGCATGGTGATAAACAATTTTGATACTGTCCACCCATGATCATATCAGTTGCCATATCACCATCGATCAAAAACTTGAGCCCAATATGTAGTTAGCAATGCTTTGGGATGTCATAACAAAAATATTAACAGTCCAGTTTATAGATTTCATTGACCTCCTCAGAAAGTTGGTTAATTGGTAAATACACATAATGACAAACATCAGTACACTGACTGTCCTGATGCAGACACAAATTGACCTACTCTGCCAGGCAAGTGCTAATCACATGACCTAATACTGACCTCGCCACATCCTTAGAACACCACATAAATTTACTAGGCCCTGGTACGTGCACTAGAACAAGAGTTATATAAATATATGGCCATACTGTTGGACCATGATTAGTGATTGTTTAGGTTCAGAAACATTCTCTCAGCCACATTAATTAATTATTAGACCACACCATATTAGCCAAATCTGCCATAGTTATACAAAGCCACTTTCTCTTAGCAACATAAAATTGATCTTGGCACATATATCAGGTAACAATCTCCTAGCTACATCAAAATACCTTGTATCCGACCACATGCGGAATTCTCTTAGCCACATCATTGATACTTGTACCAGACCATGTTCTCTAACCACATCATTGATACTTGTACCAGACCATGTTCTCTTGTACTTGTACCAGACCATGTTCTCCAGCCACATCATTGATACTTGTACCAGACCATGTTCTCTTAGCCACACCATTGATACTTGTACCAGACCATGTTCTCTTAGCCACATCATTGATACTTGTACCAGAAAATGTTCTCTTAGCCACATCATTGATACTTGTACCAGACCATGTTCTCTTAGCCACATCATTGATACTTGTACCAGAAAATGTTCTCTTAGCCACATCATTGATACTTGTACCAGACCATGTTCTCTAACCACATCATTGATACTTGTACCAGACCATGTTCTCTTAGCCACATCATTGATACTTGTACCAGACCATGTTCTCTTAGCCACACCATTGATACTTGTAAAATGTTCTCTTAGCCACATCATTGATACTTGTACCAGACCATGTTCTCTAACCACATCATTGATACTTGTACCAGACCATGTTCTCTTAGCCACATCAGTGATACTTGTACCAGACCATGTTCTCCAGCCACATCATTGATACTTGTACCAGACCATGTTCTCTTAGCCACATCATTGATACTTGTACCAGACCATGTTCTCTTAGCCACATCATTGATACTTGTACCAGACCATGTTCTCTTAGCCACATCATTTTTTTTAACTAAATCATACCCAAATCATGAAGAAATATCATGGAAACTGGATTATATTTGGTTAAAATTATTTCAGGAAGCCAGATATCTAAAGGAAAGAGTCAAGCACAGGCTATATTTGTTAGTGCATGCTATATTGGTAGGTTAGTGTATCAAACAGATCTTAACTTAGTCATCATTTGATGTGTAATTTAATTTTATCAAGCCTTTGGCAAGTTAAAATGATTTTTTGTGAATGGTTTCATCAATCACACATCAAATGGAAACTAATATAAGATCCTTTTTATCACATGATTGATTATTCAGGCAAAGATTTTAGAAAACAGATATTTCTGAATTAAACTTGAAGCTATATCAACTCTATACCTACGGTCTCTTCATGTTGCAATGCAACCTGTGAATGTGTGACATCATTTCATCAACCTGATGTCACAATATGTTACATCAAACGTGTTATAATACACAAATGCTACATGACTGTATCTTCACTGAATAACAAGGCCATCATGTGTTACTGTAAAATCGTCTATTTTCATGGGGCTAAAATTTTGTGGTTTTATAAAAATTTGAATTTTTGAATGCACTGTGGATAAGACTTGCGAAATCCAGTGGTACTAAAATCATTGTCAGTTTTTATATGATTATCGTTTCAAGTACACAAAACAGTGATTTTTGGGACTCAAATATTTGAGTTCTGAACTGCTTTTCCTGTAGGACTCACTCAAATATTGAGAACCTACTTTATCTTTATGTAACTAGACTCATCAAAATTTTGGAAATGGTGTTCTGGACTCACCAGGAAAAATTCTGCAAAAATTACGGACATAAATTCATGGATAAACATGGACCACAAAATCAACGAAAATAAAGCCCCAATGAAAATGAATGGTTTTAAAGAAATAGGTATTAGTGGTATCCATGTTATAAGCTGGAAGGATGCGGTAAACAATAGAGTTACCTACCACCTTGCATGCACCAGTCTGTAAAATACCGTAATAACGGAAATAAAAAAAATGCTGCATATGAAATAAAACCATGCATAGGTTCATAATATAATCATGCATAAACACAAAATAAATAAAATGGGAAAAAAATGTGCTGATAAGCATGTATGACAATTTGTAACAAGTTGCCCATTGGTCTTAAGATTCACCTCATGTCTTCAGGTCTTTGGACAGTTTTTGAATCTGTCCATCAGTCCCAGCATTGGGGCTGACATAACAGAACTGGTATATACATACCTACAAAGGTTTTATTGTTTCTAAGTTTGAAGGCTTCATTTTCAATTAAAGGGAACTGATAACACTGTATGATGTTGTAATTTAGCATATTTGACCAGTGGCCCTGTGAATGAAGTCATGATCATTCATTTGAACCAACATGGCAGCCCTTCTCCCAGCATGCTACTGGCCTAATTTCATGGCCCTGGGCCTTTTGGTTATTGTAAAGAAGTTGTTTTAATATTTTTAATACATTTGACCCCTGTGAACTTACAAATAAGTCAAGGTCATTCATTTGAACAAACATGGTAGCCCTTCCTCCCACCATACTACTGGCCTAATACCATGAGCCTGGGGCTTTTGGTTATTGAGTAGAAGTTGAAAATGTAAATTGTTTTTACGACGCACGACAAAAGACAGCTGCAATAGGACATTTGAAACCAAAAAGGCACACATAAATAATTCAAAAGTGGCAAACACAAAAACTAAAATTCTAAAAGAAACACATATACATGAAGCATATAAAATAAGTTTATTTACATTATTCAGTATAGTTTGAGCATTTGGTACTGTCCATAAACAATTGATTTCAAAATCAAAAGACACATGTACCATTTGAGGCTAAGTTTCAAATACACCAATTTACAAGTTAGCATATTATATCATTACTACAAGTGTTAATGGATTGAACGTGGCATTTTTCATGTCCAATTTTCTGTAAAAATTGCATAAATTCAAATTACAGTAATAGTTTAGATAATGATCAATTCATTGTAATTGACTAATGACTATGGTAAGTATCCATTTAGGTAGAGTTTTAATCTATATATACTTTAAATGTTTTTTTCTAAACATTGACAAAGTATAATGTTTATGTACATTCACAAACAGTTACTTTCAGTATGCAATGTTTGCTAATCTAAATTCATCAATTACTGCTGTTGGGTTTGTGTTTTTTATATCGAAGCCATATTTGATCACACAGTGTTGAGTTGCTCCCCTTGATTACAGCAAGTAATCAACACAAACGAACATGGTCTGGTCATGAATTTGATCATTGGATTGTATTTCGTATCACGCATCAACTCCCGACTTTGTTTGTAATGTGTATGCTAATGTAAGGAGTGACTTTAGGTGCCAGATCAAACTGGGTATGTATGTTTTACCAGGGACTAAAGTTATACTTCTGAGTTACAAGTACGTACTACCTACTTTTCTCTGTGCTTCAGGAACTCTTTTTCCAATGACACAATTTTGAAAACTATCCAATTTACATAATCATTGTCAAGTAAAACTCTATCTCCATTTGATACATGGACTTCAATTTCTAAAGTTCAGTACATCAACGTTTTGCTGTATTTACAACTGCATTGAACAATTATAAATTATCATTACAATTTTTCTAGTGTCAGAAGATTGATATCAATAAAAAGTACACCTGACATTTTATCAAATGATTTTAGATTGAATGTTTGAACATATTTTCACAATGCTGTTCCTTGAGACATGTGCATTTGATTCCTATGCTGAGGAGACCTAAATCTGATATAATTTTATTCAAATGTAAAAAAGAATATTGCTAAAAGGTTGTGAAATGATGGAGAGATAATGTTACAAAATGGAATCTAGCAAATCTTCGCTGACTTATTTTGAGTTCAAAACATTGAAATGTCATCCAGATGAAGTCACATCCCTATATTGACATCCGCACAATCAAGTAAATCCATGTTACCTAACACAGAAAATTAGTTTGACGGAGGGATCTCCCTTCACCAAATATTCTGTAATAAATGTGACCAAGTTGTAGGTCTAATCCAATCAAATAAATAAAACATAATTTTGAAAAAGAGAAAAAGTATGAGGGTCTAAAAATGAAATAAATCAGCATATATACAGTAAATTTTTACCAGTATTTGGTGTTGGCACAGTTATTGAAATAATCTATAATAAAAAGAGTGGCTAGTTTCTATCAAATTGGATCGATGTTCTGAAATGTATTAAACTACAAACATTGAATTTAGGAGTAGATGTTCTATAAAACAATCAAATACTAGTAATTACATTGAAAATTTTCCCCAGAGAATGGATGATCACAACATGCTGTAGTCCCAAATACAACAGAAATCTAATTAATTGTGCATGTACCTGGTATCAGTCCTGGGCCTAAAATTAATTCCAGGAAATTATAACAGAGATCTGGTAATACCATCATGGCGATGATAAATATTATTTACTGTTATAAAGCAATTTATGTGACTGCTTTCTTTTTTTACAATGTGAAAAGATTAACCCTTTTTTTTAGTAATTTTTTTTAAACAAGTGTATTTGAATATATATATTAAACTTTTTTTAGTAATTTTTTTTAAAAAGTGTATTTGAATATATATAACATTTAAGTTGATTTCCTGCAATGTGATATCAGGGTGGTTACATAGTAAATGACAATTATTCATGCTTTGTCTATAGACAGCATGGCATATAACTACTTATTCGGAAATGAGAGAAATGTAATTTAACCAAGTGCACATCTGACATCTACATAATGTGCGACAGGTATGGATTTTTCGTCATGTGCACTACATTGAAAGTGGATTGTATGAACAAATTTCAATAGTTCTCAAACAGACGAATAAACCACTCCAGGATCAGTTAGTCTGCTTTGCAGCCAACTAGAACATGCACATGGGTGTATTAACACCCGATTATGATTCAGGTGACTTTAAGCTCCGCCTTCTTTTCCCTTTCCTAAATGATGCATTGTTGACATGACAATAAATTAAGTAGGCTAAGTATCATTTCTATATATAGGCTAGTGGAGTTTGATATGAATGCTGACTGTTCAATGTAGTATAACAGAAGGAAAAGTTTAAAGGTTTGTCACAAAGATGACATTTTGGGATTAGGCGTGCGATACAGTGACTGACTCATGCTGTAACAGTTACTTGTGGGTGCGTTCTTATCTTTTTTTTTATATATATTTTTTTAATAATTAGGTGGTAAACATTGATTTTTAATCAGCTACAGCATCTGAAAAATAAACAAGCCTTCATCAGAAGTGTGTAACTGATTGCTGGCACAACATGTACTTTATCCTGTTAGTATGCGTGGCTTAGAATGTAGCCATTACTTAAAGACTGGTCATCACTATGATGTCCTGCTGTGAACTATATTTCACATCTGATGTATAATTATAATCTGGTGTTGGGTGTTGGCTGCTTGAAACACAGTCCACACCTAATCCCTTACACCCAGGTGACCCTTTTTATGGACAGGATATTTGAGTGCCACAACACTTTATATACTGTATTCATACTGAAGGAAAAGGTAGGGGTAAGCTTGAAGACATTTCACTATGTCTCCACATTTGCTTTTTAAACCTAACCGCAAAAGAACTTCACTGGAGAGCATAAATTTGCTGAATGCTGTTCAGCTCACCTACTCAGCTACTGTAATCCCTAAAGACCTTTTTGGTAAGAATGACTGGATTAAAGGCGTTATGAGGACTGTGTGAGCAGTCTTACTGTGGCTGAAAACTGAAGTAACCAGAGAAAACCCATGAAGTCAGGTAGGTGACCCCTTACCTTTTCACATCCTTTTGGGGAATTGGAACCCAAGATGTCTCCGAATAGCCACAGGATGAGTCACCAAGACATAAGCTAACTTCAATACCCTAACACTTGTACGCAATATTTTAAATCCTGCTTACAAATTTGACCCACATATTAATGAAAGAAACAAGAGGCAAATAAGCTTTGTAACTGTGTTTAAAATGTAATAAAAGATAAGTTGAAGATGAAATCACTTTATATTGATATGTCTTGCTTACTCAGAATTGAGAATATTATAATGGCTGTATTTTTACCACTGCCCTCTGTATACAAGTCAACTGAATTGTTTGCAAGTAAAAATGTAAAATTTCAAGAAACTTTGGTAATCCTTAATTCATGTTTTGTTGAGAAGAATGTCACAACTTCATGTTTGAAATTATGTTATCTTTTCAGTAAATTGTTACTGTATCTGTGTCAACAAATTAAGTTTATCTGCGCATTGTTCATAAACCCTGGCGTATATGTAACTATATGCATCAGAATTGCTGCAGTTGTGTTCTTTAGCTTCAGGTCTGGAGTTTAGTTGAGCTGGCATAAATTATACGGTCAATTCAAACCAATATAAGCCCTTAGGGCTTCTGGAGGTGTATACTTATGGTGATAAGATGCCCATCTGGTAACAATGTAACATGTAGGTGAGAACTTAAAGGTGTATCACTCCAGTGTTTGTTTAATCACAATTTCAAGGAGTTCAGACTAATTGCAGATATCACAATTTCATCACACTGTCACATCCCTTCTCTTAAATCCATTCTTGGTGGTATTTAGCCTAAACTCTGGTTTCATTTATTTTTTTAGGGTCCTCTAGTAGATGTAACAGGTGCCATGGTGAACAATTTCTCTTTCTCCAAAACATGGAACATCACATCTAGGACTCATATATGGAATGTGTTCATATATGATATTTCAAGAAAATCTCTTCGGTACTTCTGCAGAAATAGTGCATGCAGTAATAAGTTAACTTTAAATGACAAACTTCAAAATGGTCAATGAGCACTGACAGCCATCTTGAATGTAGCAAATGCAACTAGGTGGCCATATGATTTTGTGTTTATTATACCAGGAAGAATTCAGTCTACTCACTGCCATATGCACATAACATATAAATTTAAAACTGCACACAGATTGTCCTAACCATGTCTTTGCTAAAGATCAGTGTGTTTTACCCCGACATTGAAAACATGAGATAACGTTATAATTTGAAGCAAAACAGGTATCCTGACTGGGCCGAGGCATCTCTTCAAATATGCAAGTTTGACAACTCAAGTATTTCTTGTTTCCAATTTTTTTAATTTAATAAATGAAATTATTTCTAATTTTATTCTATTATGTTTCCATGTCTTGAAGCGTTTTGAATTTGTTTTACATGACATTCTCACACAATTTAGAATGCAGATATAATGGTATCCGACAATTCAAATGGACGTCACAAATTCAGACGTGACCTGTCATTGTGCGAAATGTAAACATTGCCGGATTGATGTACCGGTAAACGTATAAGAGAAATCATTAAACATTACATTTGTCTGAAAACAATTTCATTATATGCCAAATGATCAAACGGGTTCAGCATATTGAATGAAGGTATTATCATAAATATACTGCATATTGCTTATACATGTCTTGATTACTCAGGTACGGTATAGACCCACAATATACACAACGTTTTGTCGGCGAAAACTGACCAGGTGTGCTTGCCATATTGAATACTTACGGCAGTCTTAATCTCTTTGTTCGTAGAAATGCGCCGGTGGAACACTTTCGCGGGTTCTGTTTCAACTTCACTCTCTGAAGAATCATCTTGAACGCCCGTATCTTTGAATTTCACGTTCGAATGTATGTCTGTTTTCCATCCAGTCGCCATGTTGGATCTCCCATCACAGCCACCAGAGGGCGTGGTTGTCGAGCGCACCTTGGGGAACGTTAGCTGTGCTGCTGAGCTGGATTCAAAGTGTCGTCTGCTAGCTAAGCGATGTACATCGTCTATTTTATCAAATATTGCGGGATAAAAATAGATTAATCAGATCAAAATCGATAACTCCCCTGATTGTTTCTGTAGCGTGCCATGAAGGATACAACTCTACTTAGCTCTACGACACAAATATTATTGCCCAGAAATCCGATTCTAGAGATGGCCTTACCATGGCTAAGTCAGTACTATCTACTTTTTTGTAGAAGAATGCATGGCGGTAATAATGTTTTCTGTCGACAAACTTATTTCATTATTTATTAATAAGCCCGATGTCACCGTGTGTTAGTCTATAGATAAAGATCTAGCACTGACTCAGACTATCACGTTCATTAGTCGGTGATGTTTTAAAACTAAGCCGAAACACATCCTCGAAATGTTCCTGGGATTACGAGATCGCTAGTGACCGTAACCGCTGTAATTTTGAGTATTTACAAAATGTTACATATATAGCAAATATATTAATATCTTTAAAACAACAAACAATATACTGACAATGCTGTTTTTTATGTGGCTCACTTGATGCGGCTTTTTAATCAAAGTGAAGCGAAATGGACGTGTTTTCACATAGATCAATAAAAATATTCTCTGTTTATCAAATTTACTGAGAGATATAGGCAAAGAGTCTCAATTTTCGATTTCATTCCATCCACTAGGATTGTACAAAAGACAACTGAATAGCACATTTCAATATCAATTTAGACAATTAGATACAGTATAGACAATTAAGTAAACTACAAAACTTACTGCTATTTCGTCCTACTAAGACTCGTCAAAAACAATATAGACTATGGTAGCGAAAAGTTACAGTTACAGAGATTGTGACCAACAACAAACCAATACATAAAACGAAAAAATAAAATTGCATCTAACAAATAGAAGTTATACGTTTCTGCCGGATGACTAGGTCTGTCTAATTCATGTTTCACATTTTGGAGTTGTCAAGTCTCGATGACTACACGGAGACATGTGCCTTTCATCACGGTGTTTTATCACGTGCTACTCGGTGAATTTGACACCAATATCATATTTTTATATGTATATATATTAGACTCGTTTCATAAATTAACTTCTCGCATGGAAATTCATATAAAATCCTATCTATATGCCCTGGCTCTCACTTCGAAGACGTGACATTCATGACTGACTCTTCCTATGGATATGTTCTACCCTCATTCCATGTGCCATGTAAAATTTGGTTCATTCTTTGCTCTTGTTTCGTCGACTTCGAGCTTGATTTTTAGAATTAGAAAGTAATGGGTAAAACTTCTGTAGCGTTTGTTGTGTTATCTGTGATAAAACTAAAACAATCATAAAAAAATCATGTTTAAATATCTTTTTTTTTTCTTCCAGACGATAGCTTGCCGATAGCTTACAACATACTAATTCTTTGATAGCAATATGTTATCGTAAGAATCAACTGTAGGTAATTTCTTCAAGGTCTCTTACTTCCTGTCCACCGGACCCGGCTGTTATCGTAAGAATCAACTGTCAGTAGTTTATCCATGAACTGTTACTTCCTGTCCAGCGGACCCGACTGTTATCGTAAGAATCAACTGACAATAGTTTCTCCAAGGTCTCTTACTTCTGTCCACCGGACTCGGCTGTTATCGTAAGAATCAACTGTCGGTAGTTTCCAAGGTCTCTTACTTCCTGTCCACTGGATTCGGTTGTTATCGTAAGAATCAACTGCCAACAGTTTCTCCAAGGTCTCTTACTTCCTGTCCACCGGACTCGGCTGTTATCTTAAGAATCAACTGTCGGTAGTTTCCAAGGTCTCTTACTTCCTGTCCGCCCGACTCGGCTGTTATCGTAAGAATCACCTGCCAGTGGTTTCTCCAAGATATCTTACTTCCTGTCCACCGGACTCGGCTGTTATCGTAAGAATCAACTGCCAGTAGTTTCCCCACGATCTCTTACTTCCTATCCACCGGACCCGGGCTGTTATCGTAAGAATCAACTGTCGGTAGTTTCCAAGGTCTCTTACTTCCCGTCCACCGGACCCGGCTGTTATCGTAAGAATCAACTGCCAGTAGTTTCTCCAAGATCTCTTACTTCCTGTCCACCGGACCCGGGCTGTTGTCGTAAGAATCAACTGCCAGTAGTTTCCCCATGATCTCATACTTCCTGTCCACCGGACCCGGGCTGTTGTCGTAAGAATCAACTGCCAGTAGTTTCCCCATGATCTCATACTTCTTGTCCACCGGACCCGGGCTGTTGTCGTAAGAATCAACTGCCAGTAGTTTCTCCAAGGTCTCTTACTTCCTGTCCACCGGACCCGGCTGTTATCGTAAGAATCAACTACCAGTAGTTTCCCCATGATCTCATACTTCCTGTCCACCGGACCCGGGCTGTTGTCGTAAGAATCAAGTGCCAGTAGTTTCTCCAAGATCTCTTACATCCTGTCCACCGGACTCGGCTGTTATCGTAAGAATCAACTGCCAGTAGTTTCCCCATGATTTCTTACTTCCTGTCCGTCGAACCCGGCCGTTATCGTAAGAATCTATTGCCAGTAGTTTCTCAAATATCTCTTACTTCCTGTCCACCGGACCCGACTGTTATCGTAAGAATCAGCTGTCGGTAGTTTCCCCACGATCTCTTACTTCCTATCCACCCGACCCGGGCTGTTATCGTAAGAATCAACTGTCGGTAGTTTCCAAGATATCTTACTTCCTATCCACCGGACTCTGCTGTTATCGTATGAATCAAGTGTCGGCAGTTTCTTCAAGATCTCTTACTTCCTGTCCACCGGACCCGGGCTGTTATCGTAAGAATCAACTGCCAATAGTTTCTCCAAGGTCTCTCACTTCCAGTCCACCGGACTCTGTTGTTATCGTAAGAATCAACTGCCAGTAGTTTCTCCAAGATCTCTTACTTCCTGTCCACCGGACCCGACTGTTATCGTAAGAATCAACTGCCAGTAGTTTCTCCAAGATCTCTTACTTCCTGTCCACCGGACTCGGCTGTTATCGTAAGAATAAACTGCCAATAGTTTCTCCAATATCTCTTACTTCCTGTCCATCGGACCCGGCTGTTATCGTAAGAATCAACTGCCAGTAGTTTCTCCAAGATCTCTTACTTCCTGTCCACCGGACTCGGCTGTTATCGTAAGAATAAACTGCCAATAGTTTCTCCAATATCTCTTACTTCCTGTCCACCGGACCCGACTGTTATCGTAAGAATCAACTGCCAGTAATTTCTCCAAGATCTCTTACTTCCTGTCCACCGGACTCGGCTGTTATCGTAAGAATCAACTGTCGGTAGTTTATTCAAGATCTCTTACTTCCTGTCCACCGGACCCGGCTGTTATCCTAAGAATCAACTGCCAGTAGTTTCTCCAAGATCTCTTACTTCCTGTCCACCGGACTCGGCTGTTATCGCAAGAAACAACTGATGGGCCATCATGTTTAAGAACTTAAACTGGGAGATTGAAACAAGGCAGAAGTTTACAATTTATTATGGATACATAGTTTAAATTATTATGGGAATAGTTTCGTTGCGAGTGTCCCTATTAGTCCCTTTTTATGGCTAATCTTTTCAAATTTTTATATCTTTTGGGATCACTATCAGAAGTATTTTGTCGTTTTTATTTATATATCATTTATATAAACATCTGCACGATGCTTCTTAGTTTCCTTAATCCGTTAAAGGTTAATCCCGAAATATATGTACATCTTGTTTGTAATTAGCTGTCATTAAGTGAGCGGAAAATGTCATATCATCTCCAGCTATTTAGATTTGGGAACAAAAATGGTAGCATCAGTAATGAGAATGTAGACTTTCCTTTTAAACCTGGCATGACATACGCCATGAAACACATAGCAATATAGCGTACACAGAAAGCCTGCAGCCATACAGAATCCTGAATATCCTACATTTATCCTACCCGCTATTCACAAAAACAGTCTTAAGAATTTTGGAGATTTGCCTTGCTGCAATTACGTAATTTGACTTAGGTCTAAAAACTTGTGATGACTTGTTTCATAAATGAATCCTTTATTTCCTGCGATTTGTCTGCCATTCACTCACTGTAGTAAGGCGATAAATATTTAAAATATCATCAGTGTAGTTGAAAAGTTTTTAATTAATTCAATATATGTTTTTGTTGGGATCACTGTTCATTCGTTGTTAATTTATAAGATGAGTTTCGGAACGACTACTAGGGTGTTTTTAAAACGTGGCCTTGGTGAACGCTGTGTATTTCAGCATTTGTCCCTGAAAAACAATGCGAATGTGGCGTTCATGCCCAGAAAGCCTCAAACAATGCATCTAGCTAATGCAGCGACAACGAATATGAACACGATTTCATTTGTATGATGTAGATTAGCCAAAACGATATGACATTTTCGATGATTCCAATAGTAAATATATCTGTTATTTGATCATTTATTTCCCCAGAGATCCAGATTGTTACGGTTCGTTTCCTGGTCCCTCAGTCTGAGGTGAAGCTTCTCCGTCGTTCTCTAGGGGCGCGGGTTTGTCAGCATCATTTTCCAACTCCCTGAAACAATGTCGACACTTCTTGTAACACAGCAGTCTCTAAGGGGGATGGTTCCCATATTCTTTATTTCCTGTCCACAGCATTGGCATTTTCTCATCGTTAACACCCCACGTTGTGAGAAGAGAGTTTTCTGAGAAAAATTGGGATGGGTGTCCTTGGAATGACATCCAGACTTTTGGTCACGCCCCCTGTAAGATCAGTCCTGAGTTTTAGGGATGAACTTGGTTTTCTCATCATAATGATTTGCGGAGGAGGGAATCTCCACCGCACCACTTCCTACGACCAGGGTAGGCTAGGTTATAGGACGACCTTCTCAACCTCCATACTACTTGTTATCTTCGTGGGGGAGGATTTTGCATGGTTCGAGGTTTCACATATATTCCACCAGAAATGT